GTCTTGCTGAGACTGAAGTAAATCATGGAGTGGTGAGCTAAAGTGATATGTGATTAAACAGCAATTTAATAATGCTTGTGATAGTGGGTTTTTATTTAATTAATTAAAGAAGGTTAGTTGGAACCAATATCTTGGCTTCCTTCAAAGACACAGCTGGATGACACCCTGGGATCAATAATGTACTGACTTTAGCAGATGGGCCAGTGGGTCCGAATGGCTTCCTCTTATTTGAAAACACCTTTCTTAATTTCTTATGAGATTTCCTCTAATAAACACAGAAGGGGGGCATACATAGAGTATACTGTTTTTCGTATTAATGCACGAGACCTACAGTAATGTGTTTGGATTATACTGTCAGAATGACGGGCCAGTGCTGACATCTGTTGGAATAAAAAGACATGACATTCCACTTATAAGGTAAAATAATTCAATATGGCACATTGGCATACTGTATCTGCAAATTAAACTTGTAAAATAGCAAAAAGGCCAAAAAAGCAAATGAATGTATTTAAAATTGTAAAATTATAGAACACAGTAAATTTACATTTATTTAAATACTACACTACAGTGCATATTTTTGTTCACTACAGTAAAGAATTAGAAAAATCAACATTGACTAAGCATTTGCTATATTAGGTTAAAAAGCATAAATACAATCATCTATCAAATAAGTGACAGCCTATAAAATGTAAATATATTCTAAGATTTCAGTTCATTCCTAATTTTGATTATTTCAAAATATATGAATGAAGCAATCACATTGGAAATGCTTCTAATATTTTACTCAAGCAGCATAATAGTTTGGTACTGCTGCTCTCTTCCCCATATCCCTGTGAGCTGTTTGATACCAAAACACTGTGATTAATGTGATTAATCGAACCACTGTAAATCTAGACACTACCAATTAAATCACCAATTGCATTTAGTTTAAATTCCACACTCAAAAGACATTGATAGAATTGTTGTTGACCATTGTAGGAAAAGAAATTGTAGTGTTTTGTATTTTTAAGGCAATCAGCATTCAATTAGCCCTTCAGTACATTCTGTAGGAGAAAGATGCTCTGCTTTCATTACACTGCTGTCTCATTATTGGATTATCATATTTTTTAATGTGATCTACAGCAACAAAACATATACAGCTTTGAACATGTGCCAATTTTGCCAGCTGGTTAAAACGCATTTGTAAAAAATAATTGGATGTCTAATTGACAGAATGAGTTCATTTGAATGCCTGCTTTCTGAGGAATTCACACATTCCAGCCAGGAGATGGAAGCAAAGACCATTGAATAAGACAATGGGATTTTCCTGACATTTTTGGGAGGCAGTGATCTAGCATGTTTGTAGGCAGAGATCTACTTCTTTCATGGCTAAGATATTCGAAGAGCAGAACTTGTGAAATACATATGTTTTAGATATCTCTAAAGATTTGACAGCATGTGCACTATACACTATACATGGTGAACTATATTCATTGTGCACAGAAAGTGCAATGTCTTAATTGTAGATACAAATTTAAAAGTAAATATTGCATCTCTCTTTTAATTATGTAAGTTCCTTATTATTTTGTTTCTGTGGCTTATTATTAGTTTTAATTATAATAAATGTGCTATAAACAAATGTGCATATTGTACTCACTGGGGACATTTGTCTTATCTTGGAATGATGAATGGATGCAGATTCTGTCGTATTAGTTTGCATGTACAGTATTTCAGTTGCACATCTAACCTTACCGTGTGTCCTAGATGAGATGATACAGCTCAGTGCCACCTCACTTAAACTGATCTAGAGCTGTTCTCTACTCATAACAAATTCATTTATGCAATGGAGCTCTGAGCCAAGTTCATTATTAATTGCTGCCATGCTGCATTTCATATCAGATGTGTAATATTATACTGGTTTGTTTGTGAAGGCTGCTTCTGGCAGACACAATATATATCTTCCTGATATACCAGAGATCTGCACACATATTGCTCAATAACAATTACAGTACCTGTGTTTACTTCTATTACTCATGTGTTTATTTTGTAACCATCAATAAATATGATAGCCAATGACACGTTTCTTACACAGCTTTTAAATATCCTCTAATAGGCATTTTTACAACCTGATTCACAAATGCCTGAATGAACCACTAAATAATGAACTTGGAGTGTGTGATTATAATCTGGGAAATGATAGATGACATAGTCAGAAATTGGTATTTTGTGCTTTCACAGTAGAATGCATAAAAAGGTCCAGTATCAAGTATGTGTATAACTCATTTGCATATACAGTACTGTACCTGAGATCTGCAGATTTTCATTCTTCCAAAGAAACATACTATTTTTAGTGATTGCCTTAATTGGATTTATTTCAACACCTTACCCATAATAATCAGCTGCTGGAGATTGAAAAAACCTTCAGGGTTACAGTCTTTCAAATGCAGATTTGTAGATTCCTTGTGTATACCACATACTGTACTCTATACAATGCCCACCAGACATATTTGAACAACAATTACAACTGTCATTATTGTTCTATAGTCCAGTGATTTGTATTTGTGATCATGTTTTAATTAATATTAATTATTATTAATATCAACATTGATATTAATCCATCCAGCTATTTCCTACCAACTCAAGGTCACAGGGGATCTGGAGCTCATTTCAGCAAACAAAGGCAGGTGCAGGGCGGGTACATTCTGGACAGGACAGTTATGATTAAAGTTTGTATCTGAGTAATTACTGTGCAGTGTTCAGGTGCCAGCAGGGCACACATAAGGAGACTGGATATAACATGCTGGCCCGTGACAGTTTCTGTGTGTGTCTGAAGAAACAAATCGGTTCAATTTGTGACAGCAACTATAATGTGTCTTACCTTTATCTACATAACAATTGGCGACAAGGATGGCCGAATTTACCTTGACCCCTCCTCTTCCATTCTTACCACTTCCTGGAGAGCACCCAGTCCCTTGGAAATGCTGCTTGAGAGTTTGGAGACATACTGGATCTAATACTGTTAGCCAAGGAACTGGAGCGTCTGACTGATGCCCGTAAACGTGCACAGCTCCTGTATGGCCTTGGGACTCGGGGACAATGCTTATTCATATCGTTGAGGACTGCTGACTAATACACTGATGGAGCACGAGACCACGGTTTCAGAGATCCTGATGCAGTGCTTTACGTTTCAGCAGAGAAGCTAAATCCCAGGCGAATCTATTGACAGCAGTTGTCTGCAATGCGCAAACTGTAACTTAGGGATGCCGAAATGATAAGGGAGAAAACAACCAATGGTCAAGTACGTGACCGCTAGTTAATGGAAGCTGATGATTTCAGGCTAGCGAGAGCAATTGTAAAGGCTTGTCTTATCGAAAGTGCCACTCGGTGTGCGGCTCAGCTCACAGGAGCAGCAGTGCAGATGCCAGTGCAACACTGTAATCCTCTGTGCCCGATGGACTGTGGATTTGGATGGTGACCTGTAGTGAGGCCATACAACAGCTCACCTCTCCACCAGTGCTGGCTCACTTTGACCCTTTGACATCTCAGCCCTAGCGGTGGGGACGTTTCTCTCACAGGTGCAGAGAGGTACAGAACGGCCAGTGGCTTCCACAATACACGTGTTGAGTTCAGGTGAGCAGAAGTATGCAGTGGGAGAGCAGGAAGCCCTGGCTTGTGAATTCTAGCATATGTGCTTGTACAGCTGACCATTCAGGCTCTGAAAAGAACGTCGAGCTCTCACAGCACTCATGTCTACTTCATGCATGGAGCACAGACTGCTTCGACTACACCACCGGGCAGAACGCCAGCAACACCTGCAACACCACTTCCGGCTCCAGTTCACACTAGCTCATGACAATATGATTCCATTCTCTCACACTCTCTGCCACCACAGACAACTCAAGTACCACAGGAGGATGCAAACCCTGACGTCATCCAGAAGCTTCTTGAACTCGTCCAATCAGGTGTGTCGGAGTGGAGGAGCCCCTCTTCTATAACCCAAGGCTGGCCAGCCCTGCATGTTGGACGAACTTGCAACCAGTTGCCAGGGTGTGAAGGAAGAGCTGTTGTTGGAATGAGTCATGTCAAACACAGCATTACCGGGAACTAGTGTAGTGGCCTGATATCGACTGCGACATCAAGACAATGTTGAAGGTCAGCACGGCCTGCCTGTTCAGAGGCAAGCTGGGAAAGCCACCACCTCCACCTCTGCAACCTTCAACCTGGCCTTCACAGCCATGAGCCAACTAGACATCTGCAGAGAGCTTCACAATGTACCTCAGAACTCCTGGTTTCTGTGGTAGTTCCATTCCAAATTGCTGGTGTATTCTGTGCCTTGAAAAAATATTCAGACTCACATTTTTCACATTTTGTGCTTCAAAATATACATTCACAATACTTTGAAGTAGAAATCTATATTTTGTATACATTTACCTTACTATATTAAGAGTAAATTTGAATTCATGTAGGAGCACAAAATTATCCTAATGTTCCACACAGTTAGTTGAGTGCCCCTTCTATATATACAATAATAGTGGTTCACAAGATTTTAGAATAAAACCACTTGTGTTTATTAGGTTCTTCAGGCAGTTAGTGAATTTCAAGAAAATATTTAACCATGAAGACCAAGGAGCTTTCAAAATAACTTGGATAAAGCTGTACTCTATATACTGTAGGCACAGTTCAGGAGAAGTCTAAAATAATTTCAAAGATCTGTTAATATCTCTTCAAGCATGGCAGAATCAATTATTATTAAGAAGTGGAAGGCAGCCAGACTGTGCCTAGATCACGTTGTCTTCCCACATTGAGCAGTTGGTCAAGGCAGAAACATTAAGAGAACTACAGAGTTCAGTCACTGAGAAAATGTTCCGGGGTCAACAATACCGCGGTCACTCCCCAAAGGAGGCTTGTATGGAACCAAGGAAAAAACATCTAAAGCCTCTCGTAGGGTTTTCAAAAAAGCACATACTGTACATGATACTGCAAATATGTGAAAAAAGGATTTGTGGTCAGACAACACAAAATTGAAAGTGTTCATACTTCAGTTTATTTTTGTTAAAAATAAGAACACCCAATAAATATTAAACACTGATTAATTACACTTGGAGCATAGTGCCATACAATATGTAATAAGAAATAATAATAACAACCTCACATAGAAAAGAGCAATGATTTTGCTTGTCACTTTTGCCAATCACTTGGCAAATGGGGAGCTATATTTAAGAAGATACATACAGTAGAGAGGGAAATTTTATACTGTAACTCAAGGGAAGAGAAAAGTGATTCTCCAGGGCTTTGCTTTCACTATGCTTTCACTTGTATTGTGAGACTCAGACATTCCCGGACAATCCATACAATTTTCACAGATTCCATTTCCTCAATTATAATCATCAATGCAATAAATGACCTTGACATATACAGTATGTATTTGAATATATGTATTTTGTATAGTATCATTGGGCAAAATCTGAATGATAGAAATTATAAACCGTATTTGACATGTAGGTTAAAGTACACATCATTGCGACTAAGTTTATAATGTTCATAGCACTACAGTGTAATTTAAGGCTGGTGGTAAAAATAAGATAAAAATTAATTTACACCTAAACCTGTTACCTGTAATAGTAAGGTAGTCCACAATCAGTGCTTATCATGGTCTGTGGAACCATACAATAGGATATATCATATTTACTTATTTTAAATAACTTGTAAAGCATTGTCTGCTTACTGTTGAAGTAAAGTTTGATCTGGAACACAAAGCCTTACAATAGTACATAGTGTTTTTGCAATGTACAGCTGTAGTTCATATACAGTATAATATATAGTAGCTGTAAAATAACTAATTATATGGGATAATGATATTGGTCCTTGCACCTTTCTAGGTAATGCAGTAGGTGTTGAATTCAATGGATGTTAGCAAACTATAAGAATTGTAGTACCTAATACATCAACAGGATTCATCTCGCTAGATAAAAATGTATTTTTTATTACCATTACTGCCATTTTTATTTCTTTTCTCCTAAACAGAAAAACAATTTTGCTTCCTCCACATGACAGACTTCATAACAACAAGTAAACAGAAAGCCATTTTAGACCCCCTCTTCACAAACTTAATGATTTTTTTCTTATCTTTCTCTTTTCATAAAATGCAGCGACGGTGAAAAACTAAAATCTTCGGAACAGGTCATAAATCTTTTTTACATACAGTGTAAAACAGATCACAATGGTGCAGTAGTCTTAAAAGGTGAGCCTTGTCAACATGTTTTTTTATTAACTTTGACATCAGGGAGTTCTTCAAGATCAAACTGCAAAGGAAAATAAATATTGCAAATGGAGTGATCGGGGTCTAGTCAAACTATATTAACAGCAAGCTTATATTTCATTCAGTTGGCAATGTTCACACAATTCATCATCTCACTCTGTCTTTTCTGAGATACCATTATATATTTATAAAATGCATGCTGAGCTCACATTTGAAACAAAATAGTCAAAAGGGGGCTAAACATTTACATCACAACATTTAAAATATTTAGTAAGAGAATAAAAAGGAAGCATGAATAAAAACACTCAAAATATCAAACAGTGTTAAAAAATAATTTAGATTAAGCACCAGGACCCCATTTCTCTGTGAATTGAGTGTAGCAATATCTAAAAGTGCTTTATTTGTGGGATTTCCCTGCAGACATTCTGTTGAATGAATGTACAGTAAAGAGTCCCTTTTAGGAAGGCTAAGAACAGTTGAAGTATATTCTTCCCAGTTGGCAATTTAAATTAATATATTCACACCCATAAAACAGGATGTTTTATTCTGAGTGTTTTTATTGGAGTTGTTTTTGTTGGCAGCTTTATTTTGCTTTGACACACTTCACAAGCATAGAGCAATGAATCATATCTGTGTGAAATACAGTAAAACTGTTGGTCATTAACCATGCTATCATTAAGTCTAATTCATAAATTAACACTTCAGTTTTCTGCACTGATTGATGTTTTTTAATTACAACGGGTACTTATCCACTAAATGCTTCTCACTGATGTGACACTGCTGTCTGTCAGTTTGTCAAACTAGCACTGTTTTCATTCAAAAGGCTTATTCTTCAATTAGCAAAAAAATGATGAAACCCAAAACAGATGTGTCAGGATAATTCTACCAAAAACGCTTTTTTTATATTGCTTTTTTCCTGCAGGGGCTTAGTTTGAAAATCCTATTTCAAATACCTACAACTCATACTTATAAACATACTGGTTTCATAGAAAAGTCGTGAAACCAAATTTAAATTTGTGAGTTTAATCCATTTCCGATTTGTATTTACTGTATCATCCTAATCCCATTTGATCAAAGAATTCAGGAATTACAAATGCAAAGTCTAAATGGCACACATACAGTACTGATGCACAATAAAAAATGCAACATTTATATCTGTAGCTTATTGGACACATACTGTACATGATGATATTTATATTTATAAAATGTTCATTTATTGTCTAAGTAGTATGGTTCCTTAGGATAAATCAACTCTTAGGAACAAGTATTCATCCTTGAGCTCAAGTTATGTGATTTACAAAAGAGCCAAGTAGATGTTCATTGTTTGGTATTTGAATTAAAATTGCCACAATATGTTGATTAAGCATCTTTATTAAAAGCTAATCAAGAGATATGATTTTACTTAATGTCAGAATTGTGAAAGTTACAACCATGCCTTGTTGAAACGATGAAAATCTCTTTCCCTTAGTATGATTAAAGGCAGCCTGTCTGTGATACATGTCTTTATCCATCATTCTCAAAAGACTGCAGTTGCTGCATTGTTAGGGATTCCAAAAAGAATAACACATTAACAGAAGGACCGCAGGTCTCTACCTGTAAGAAAATGAACTGCATGTTTGGAAGACATTCAGGAATAATGTTGACACAACTGAAAGAAGAAATTGCCATTGAGCCTCTGAAGCAGTGGAAGAAGAAGTAGAGGCTTTTATTCACCATGATTGTTTAATTCTTGACAGATCTAAAAGGAGCACAACATGTATGGATTTGTGTTAAGATTGTGTTGGGTATTGAGGTGATTAAGATGGCGAATGAAAGTGTGATGATGTGGGCTTTAAAACAAAAACAGCTTTGACATACATTAAGGAGAACCTTACTGCTCAGCGGCACATCAACAAAGTCCTTAAGTCAATAGGTTTTGTTGCTCCAAGTCAATCCAAAAGTGTACATTTTCAAGCAAGGTGTTACAATGATAGTAGTTCAACAACTTCCACAGTGGGACCGACTTGTCAATTCCATCAAAAAGAGACAACCACAAATGTCTCACCTCCGCCACCTGTCTGCAGACAGGAAGAGTGCCTGAACATCCAGTCTGTCCAGAGATATACAGTATCAGATCTATGAGTCAATGCTTCCAGTATTGTGTTAATGCTCAGGGAGCTGATATTGAAACCTAACTAAATATACCTGTTTTTGTTTTTGACAATGTTTTATGATTATAAAAACTTATCAAGACTCTTTAATGTGTATTTTTTCACTTTTTGTTATTGTGTTTGACATCACATCTTAAAATGTATTATTCAATAGATCTGACTGCTGCATTTCTTGTGTGCACCAGTATACTAATCAATTTTCATAATAAACAATATTTTTTATTTTACACCAGCAGAAAACTGTTTGTATTTTAGTTTTCAAATGCACAGTAAAACGCCAGTGCTCAGGAAAAGTTGTACAGCCTCAATAAGTCTTGAGCTATTGCTATGAACATTTGCTTTTCAAATTATTGTACATAATTTGGATTTTTAAGAGGCAGCACAACCCGGTGGAGGGATCAGATTGATGTGTAATGTTTTCCATAGTTGGTCAATTTAATTTTCTCTGGCAAAATAATGTTCATGGAATGCTCCTCCCCATTGTTGGCTTTTAAGAAATGATTCCTCTGCTTTCGCACAAGCTGGCTGTATTTGGCATTGGCCATCCACATCTCACATTTGTTGAAGAAAACGATTCCAGTTGTGCCCAGAACAACAAGACAGGTCAGTAAACCCAGCACAATGAAGCAGATGACTTGGCTTTTGTTGATGAGGGAGTTGGAGCTGTGGACTGTTTCTTTCATGGTGATCTTCAGGACTTCCCGATCCTGATGATGCAACATTTTGTGAAAGACGTGAGAAGGCAAGCTGTAGTGCTGAACATGGCTGGGCTCTTTATCAGGGGGTCTGGAAGCTTTGACCCTGTGGGAGCTGCAAGCTTTTCCTGTAAACCCTGGCTTGCAGACACAGTGGAAATTCCCATCTGTATGTTGTAGGCACCTCCCACCATTTTCACACGGATGGCTGACACAAGGAACCAGAGTGTCATTGCAGTTTTTTCCACTGAATCTCCCAGGACAAAGGCAGGTGTAATCAGGCCCATGGTCTACACAGGTCCCACCATTAACACAAGGGCTGGATTCACAGTCATCCAAATCAATTTCACAGAAATTTCCGTTGAAACCCGGGGGGCACAAGCAGGAGGGGTGCAATGCAGACCCGTTATAATCTTGGCAGGTTCCTCCATTTTGGCACGGAGACCTAGGAGATGGGAGCTCAAGTTACAAATGCCAACTGAACAAGTGATCTGATTCTTTTTCATTTAATTTTGTGTGCATTTCTGAAATTGACTGTGTCAACACAGTGAAATTAAAAGTGGAATAAAAATTAAACTTTTTTGGAAACACACTGCACTTTTCTGTTTGTTTATAATGCTAATAAAATAAGACTCATTTTACTTCCAGTAAACTTATCTGCAAAATAATCCAATTGATCAATTGGTCTATTAAGATATATTTATTGTCTAATATTATTCAGAAATGAAACCAAGGTTTCAGAAATGAAGTAAGAACACATTGTTATTTCCATTCTTAAAATCCATCAATCAAAACAGAATTATTTTATAATCAGCATCTACAGTATTCATTTCCAGGTATGGATTAAGCTGTTTTATGTTTTAGTGCTATATATGGTTTTATAGAAATTGTCTTTGTCTCATATGCTCTTAGATTTCCTTTCTATGGGTCCCTATTTTTAATTTGAGTCAAGGGCAATTGAGATGAATGAGTACATAGTTCCCAGGTTAGGCTGTTGACCTAAATCGCTATCCCAGTGAAGCTGAAGGTTACCCGTTAGTGAAGCACGGTCCCATCTTCTGCTGACAGTTTTTCCCTGTGTACCCATGTGCGCATATACAGATGTATCCTCCGTTGCCAGTTTCAATGCATGTGGAGTTATTAGAACAGGGCTGTGACATACAGGAGTGGATGTCTACCACAGAAAAATAAGAGTGAGAGAATTCTGAAAATTATCACTGATTAAGAAACTTGTCTTTTGGTACTGAAAATTACAGGGTCTGAAAGAATAATAATAATAATAATAATAATAATAATAATAATAATAATAATAATAATAATAATAATAATAACTCAGTTTATTTTCATTTTCTCCTCTGCATTCTAGCTTGTTTGAGTGCTGAGAACAAGACAAACTGTAGTATCATGGGACACAAAGACTGTTACTTTATTTATGCTGATTGCAGTTATTTAAAATTGCTGTGTAGAAAAGGAAGGCTTACTTCTGTCACACTGACTCCCCACCCATCCCTCTTCACATATGCACTGCCACGGTTTCTGGCAGGTCCCGTGTAAGCAGCCGGGGTACGGCACGCACTGATCGCAGGTCTGACCTCGCCACCCGGGTCTGCACCTGAAAGCGCCAGCCCTTCACATTTCATCTCGGTACACAGTACTGCCTAGTGACCATTCATTCACCCATCAATTCGTCCATTCAGTCATCCATTCATCTATTCACCCTGTCTACCAAATTATCCATCTGCATTTAGAAAGAGACATCAAATATCCAAAGTTCCCTTTGAAGTGAGAAAAAATAGTTTTTAATTGAACCAGTGCCCTTTTTTTATTGCATTGCTCCCCCCCAGACACACACTGTTTACTTTGAAGCTTTGACAAGTGAGAAAGAACACAAAGATCTCTGGTGGTGTACATGAAATGAAATTTCAGATTCTGCACTCTCTCTTGGCAAAACATCGACTGTAGAGCTGACCACCCAAAGGGAGTTAACCACCCCCCAGCAATATGAATACCAATGTCGACATCCACAATAAAGGCACCAAAGTCCATGATCGTGATAGAAGTTGTTAAAGTCCCCAAGACATACACATTAAAAACGAGTGCTTTATTAAAAAAAAAAAGAATTGGGTTTGCTTTAGAAATCTCAACAATGTTGCCGGTGTTTGTTGTGTTTTCTTTTCAGTATATAAAATGACGCAGACTAGTTGCTAAATAAAAATAAAAAAATCGTGCTGTACCTGCACTCTCCAGATGTCTCACAGAAGCCGTTCTCTGGATTGCAACCAATACATTCTGTACCTAAAGACATGGGGTATTTTATAAACTCAATTAAAAGAGAAATGTCTTAATCAAACTACAGTTCTGCAAGAAAGGGCCTTATTGTGGCGTATATTTAAACAGTTTAAATCTAGGTTCTGGTTCTCGAACTGTTTGCTTGAGTCAGAACGTGAACGTAAAGAATCGCATTGAATTACTGCTCCATTGTTAAGAGAACGGTAAAAACGATGTTATCTTACCATCGCTGATGCAGACTGTTAGAAGGAACAAAAGGCAGACTGCGAGTAGAGAGTGAAGAGTCGAAAAATCCATCCCGAGTCTCGGCTCTATGATTAAAAGCTCATTATCCTGCAGGAGAAACAATTTTCAGTTTACACAAGTGGACGCTGAATGAAGCGACCGTTTAGCGGAACTGTTGCTCTTTCTGAGCCTCAAGGAAGAAGTTCTGGACGCAGTTAATATATAGACACACAGGAGACCTTCCTTTCAGTTATAGTTTAACCTTCAGGTCAGTTTCGGAAGGTTAATATATGTAACAGTTCCATACAGCTTGGTAAATAGCAATTACTTGTTCGACGAGTTTGGGACTTCGTTGTGTGAATACTAAATATACAGTACACAATGTAGAAACACTATATATACAGTATATCACAGACGTCCGAGACTTCGCCGTGTTTAACTGTAACTAAATAATGATTCAAACGTCTTAAACCTATCCCACTCTCCATACAATATATTAACATCTAGCTTATATTCTTGAAATTTTAGAACAGTACCTGTTTTGACCCGTTGTTCCTCTTTCAGCGTGAAAATTGTATTTTCACTCCAGGATAATGTCAATGGAACGTTAAAGCCATAAAGTCATATTTGACATCTTTCACATGCAAAGAGAACCAAAACTTATTTTTACTTCATTTCAGTTTTGTCTCTTTAGTTACCACGTTTGCACTTCGGCTCAGGAGACAGACTGTGAAATGCGCCTTCACACTGCACTGTTTGGAGAAAGGAGCTGTCCAGCACTCCAACCTCCTGAACGCATGCGCCGCCGTGACAAACCGAGTGCGGCTATAAGAAAAGCAGGTTTAATTACAGTATCTCGACTGTCCGGTGATTAATTAAAACAAGGGTTGTATTGTTGTGAGAAAACAGTGGATTTCTAATTTAAAAACAATACTATAGTCAAAACCAAACAAAAAAATTGTGATTGGGAACGCCACACTATAAAAAATGCCTTTTTATTATTTGTACATTCTGAAAATATTTGTGAGTAAAAAAAAACAATAAGGTGAAAAAGTAATCAAACGTTTAGTAACAGTTTATAGTTGTAGTTATTAAATGAGCTCATTATGCTCCATTCTTCTGTATTCTGAGATACAGAAGAATACTGAGTCCTACGTTTAAAAAAGTAAGCTTGGATCCAGTTCTTGTACAAGACTCATTGCAAAAACGTTATTTTGTTACTGAAATTACTTAATCACATTAACATTTTATGTTCAATTTCGCGTTCGGCAGTGCTGGATTTTATTGTGCTACTTCAGTTCTGAGCATTGTCATTAAAATGTACACTATAAATATACATACTGCATACAGTATAAGAGGGTGATATATATACAGTATACAGTAATAGTACTGGATATTCAGTCTCCGAGATTATCACATTATGGTGGGATAATTATGTTCCTTACCTGAAATGTGTGGAAGTTCATTTTTACATTGGTCGGATTCGTTTTTGACAAATTAATTGGCCCATTCAAAACAAAAATGGCTTTAAAAGCAGTTTTGTTCTTAAAAGAAGTAAAAACCTCTTTAGCACAGGCTGGCATATGCCTTTGGTGTTTTCAAAGATGTCAGAATACATTTTTCTTCAGACAGGAGAGGAACTGCATTTAATCTCTGCTGTCTGCTTTATATGAGTGATAGTGCTTCTTAATATTTTGTGATTCCAATCTAATCCCAGTGACACTAATACCCTTGTTGGCCTGAAAAACAGCAATACCAAACAAAATAAATAAAAAAGATTTAAAGGCACCATATTCTAGAGGAACATTTCATATAGTATATAAATTGAATTCTAGTCTCTGTATTTTAATATGGAAAAGCAAAGAATGTTTTGTCAAATGTTTTCAGTCATTTATGTAGTATAGTCCCTGGGCTCATTTCTTCAAAGTTTCAGTAGAACTGTAGTTCCAATTGAAATCGGATTAATACAACATTAATTATTTATTGCACACATTATTACTGTTTATTTAGCAAGACTATGTTTTATAGGATTTGGTTAAATACAAGTTAAAAATATAAATCTTTCACATACTGTATCTGAATGTTTCTATGGTAACACATAACTCATGAAAATTTAACAGGTGCCTTTCCATTTAAATGTCATTTAACTAACAGAGCCTCCATAATGTAATTCATTTTTCATTTTCCATCCAGAATGTTAAGGCTGGGGTGAAAACATGAAAGATTGCCTAGTATTCTGAAAATGAATCTGCTTTATTCTTGTATTGCACTTGGAATGCAGTTGTGTTTCTACTTTACTATTCCTTCTGTGCCTTTGTTTTCCTTCAGAATGATACAGTAAAGGAAGGATTGTCTCCAAGGCCTGAGTGATGCAATACATACATTTTGATCAGATATGAAGTATGAATTATGTAGAAGAAAGTGTTTAACACACTCCCATCTTTTAGCTTGCCTCCCTGTTGAGATACCTCCTAAACCCTGCACTTAGAAGCAGTTTGTGCAGTATTGGAATACAAAAGTAGGCAGAATCCTTTCTTGTCTAGTGATTATTATACATACATTTTAGTCAGGGTGATCTTAGAACAGAATGTGGGATAAATAACAATAAATGATAAATAACATTTACTAACTTGACCCGTTTGAATAATGTTTTCAAATGTACCAGATAAATGAGCTGCTCATGAAAGATGAGTACCAATTAGACTAGCTACAGATGGGCAGTATTTTTAGCATCTTTTTCAATAGTCTTCAGTCTGTCTTAACCTGTCTTCTTGCATAGTCCAGCTGGATTTAAACCCAGGCCTATCAAATCTGAAAAGCTAGAAATCTACTCAGTGTCAGCAAAATATATTTAACGTCCATTTTCTAATAGAACACTAGCCAAAATGTAATGAATTTGAATTGAAAACTTTTGATAGTCTCATGTTTTTGTAATACTAGTCTTGTCTTGTTGACCGGCCTCTATAGGTTTCATTGGCTTTTATTACATTTTTATTTCTTAATCAACATACTATTATAGTTTTATAGACTTCCTTCCTTCCTTAATTGTCCCCAATGGGAATTTTGCTTTGCAGGCAGGTACAAAAATAACACAATACATAATACATTTAACAGAACATGAACCCATTGACAAGTGAGAAATATGCATGCTTAAGATGAGAAAAAATAAACTAGCTCCATGAAAGGGTGTGTATTGCACCTAAAATAAAGGGAAAAGAATAAAGGGAAATTCTTCAACCATACTAATAATAATAATAATAATAATAATAATAATAATAATAATAATAATTGCTTACACTTATATAGCGCTTTTCTTGACACTCCACTCAAAGCGCTTTACAGGTAATGGGGACTCCCCTCCACCACCACCAATGTGCAGCATCCACCTGGATGATGCGATGGCAGCCATAGTGTGCCAGAACGCTCACTACACATCAGCTATCAGTTGGGAGGAGAGCATGTACAGTATGATCCAGAAGTGATACAATACTAGTTTACTGTAGTGAGCAATCCTATAGAGACAGCAAGCAGAAAACATAATTTCTTATGAATGCACAGCAGTACATTTTAGTTTTAGAAATAAAATCACATTTCCCCATATGGTCCTTTGAAATATGTATTACAGTTTCAGAGTTCTCTTCCTCCAGTACCCTAAGGCTTGGATTCTTGCAGAAACAGCATTGTATTGACGAGATGAGGAATGTGGAATATACAGTAGTGACTTAGAATAATTAGGTTTCCATTTGAACGAAAACCCATCTCATTATACCTGAAAAGGAACAGTGAAGATCTATTCATTTTGACATCTGGCTTTTTATGTATACAGTACTGGAATTGAGGAATATTATTTTTTTTCCTTGTAAAAGAAGCCTCAATTTTTTTTTAATATAGAGGAATACAGTATAAAAGTACTGTACATGTACAAAGCTGGGGAGTTCTAAAGGCTTTCTTTTAATTTTTAATTATTTTAATAGAAGTTAAATTAAATAATAATATAATAAAATAAAATAATTTATGATTAAAAATGTAAAAGATAATTATGGGGGGGGGGTGATTTTGTGCATAGGATGTGATCTCAACCTTAAAATCCATATACTGTACATTTAAAAGAGACAAGCAAGGAAGACAAAAATCCACAGAGGAGATGATGAGCGCCAGTACGGTTTGCTGTTTCTATAGTTATATCTCTATAATCTTCTGATATATCTCCAAAATCCACAGCAGGCATTAACAGGCGCAAAGAAATAAAAGAAAAAAGAAGAAATCCATGCAGATTTGAGGGATGCAAACAATACCGTTTAATTGTTTTCCTCTCTGTTTTTGATTCACATGATTGGCTTCACAGGTACTGTAAGTGCTGAACAAGCGATCCAGTTCGCAGGTTAGCAAGTTATGCTTTGTTCGATTGAAACCTGCAAACTGAAACCAGAAGATCGTTTGTATCGAAGTCACCACAGGATCAAAGATGACACGATCAATTACCCTTTCCGCTGTGTAATTTTTCCTCATGCCGTAACCATGAATAGATTTAGGAACTGCTGTAGTAGTGGTCAATAGTACAAAATGTTTAGTTAAAAAAGAAGTTATTTTGGGAGAGGTCTGGTTGTTAATTTTAAGCAGTAGCACTTGCTGTCAAAATGCACGACTTTCCTTGCAGAAAATCTGACCTTTCCGCAAGGTGACTCACAGGCCTATGGATTTACTTCCATCCAAGTAACATTTCTGATGGCTAGCTTGATGTTTTAGAGATAAAACACTCAGTTCTGCTTTCTTAGCTATCCAGTGCTGAAACCTAAAGTGAGTGTGTGACAGCTAAAAAAGGTAGTATTGGAATATTTCAATAATTGTACATCAGAGATGCATTGTCCTTTCATACCAACCCATACTGTACTACTACTGTAACTACTGTACCACCATAACTGGTGAAAATGTCCCTTCCCTCTTTTAACTTTTTTCCTTTTACATCACTATTCTTCTGTGAAGAAGTATTTATTTAAGACATAGATTCCCTTCCATAATCTAGCATATTCTTGAGTGACTTTATAGAAGTATATATAGTCAATTCATTCATCCATCATCAAAAAGTAGCTTATCCCTTATTATTTAGTGGCAGTCATAGAAAACTGGAGTCTGTTCCAGAAAACCAGGGTGTAAGGAGGGAAAACTCCTTGGATGGGACCCCAGTCTATTTCACGGCACACAAGCACCTTCAACAGTAATAACTTTTAATATCTAAAAAAAAACCTTAGGCCAATATAGTGCACAATGTTGACTATTAACAATTAACCTAGCCAGCATGTCTACGGGAGGTGATAGGAACACGGAGCTCAGGGAGAACATGCAGACTCTCCATAGATGGTACTCACAATTGAAAACCCAGGATTCAGCAGCTGTGAGACAGCAGCACCACAAGCTGCTTTGTGTTTGTGGGAAATAAGCCAGCCGAAAAAACTCTGATGGTCTCAATAGCTGCTTTTCTGAAAATGACTTATTTGCTTGACTTACCACTATAACTGCTGTATTATGCAGAGGGAAAATTAGAACCCATGCATGGAGATCCCTATCATGTTCTCCTGCCAGTGTCATTCATCATCTGATGTACTGCAAGATCCACAGTACCTTCCTGCATAAATAGTACCAACTAAAGGAGTGATTTGTTGATGAATTAAATTAGACACACAGCACATTTCAGGGGTTACTAGCTGGGTTACAGGGGTTTACAGTAAGTGTGAGCTCCTCCCATCAGGGTACTTATTTAGACTTCCAAGATTTAAGTTTTGTACAGTA